CCCCCCAGGTCGCGCCCAGCAGAGCCTTCCCCAGGGTCTGCAGGACCAGAAATCACCCCGTTTCCTTCTGTAAGTGTAGACTCTCCGGTGGGTGGAGTTTCGCTTTTGCAAGACGCACCCACCCAAGAAAGTCCGACGGAAGTGTAAACCTACTAAGTGCCTGGGGATGTGGAGTCCCGGAGAACTCCGGGTGCCTGTGAGCATCGAGGTGACAGTGGCCTTTGTGGATCCTTCCAGGGGCAGTGAAGTTCCAGGAGAAAGCGGAACTGAGACATCGGGCGCCAGACGCCGACGCGAGGGTTGACGGGTTGGTTGGCAGAGACAGAGATGGGAGAAAGGAACACACTGTGGGGACAGCCAGGGTGGAGGGCGGCCTGGACAACCGTCCCGAACACGTGAGGCCACAGTCACAGTCAGGGTGTGTGCCCTTCCCTTCCGCCCCACCAGGGACGGGGACGGGGACAGGGACACATAGAGACATTCTGGAAAGCTCCGGACTGGTTCAGACGGAACCGGATTAGAAGGAAGATGAAGGAGTTGAACTCATCAGCCACGACGCCTGGCAACCCCGTGATTTCCACAAGCTGCTCCCCGCCCCTCACCCCGCTTCCCTCTGACAGGTTCTGCGCTCGGGCTGACACTCACAGCGTGAATCAGGTCCCTGCCTTGGACGCCCAGCACCTCGCCCTGTAATAAACACAGAACCCGGCACGGGGTCCCGGCCCTGAGCCTTCCCCCCTCGATGACCTGCCTGCCCTTTGCTCCCTGATTAGCAAGCTCTCCCGGTGCGGGCCTCGCCCATGCTGTTCCCTGCTGGAAATGCCCTTCCCTCCCTGCTCGCCTCCTTCCTGCCCTCCCATGGCCCTGGGCAAGGCTCCCCCAGAACGAGGGCTCCACCCGGCTCAGCGTCCTGCTGGCTCCCTTCCCGGGGCATCTCCTCGTTAAAAACTTAAAAATATAAATTTTTATTGATTTCAGAGAGAGGAAGGGAGAGGAGGAGAGAGAAACATCAATGATGAGAGAGCCATGGATCGGCTGCCTCCTGCACGCCCCCGCCTGGGGATCGAGCCGGCAACCCGGGCCTGTGCCCCGACCGGGAACCGCACCAGTGACCTCCAGGTTCTCAGGACCACACTCAGCCACTGAGCCACACCAGCCGGCGCATCTCCCATGCTGCATTCACAGATTCCGAACCATACGCTCACGACCAGCCGTGACGCTTCCCTCCGGCCCCGAGCGCAGGGCCTGGGGCGTCCCTGTCCGTCGCCGGGGGAGCTCACCGTGGCAGCTGCCTGCTGGGGAGCCAGCGAGCGGGGGCGTCCCTGCTGGGACTCAGATGCCACGTCGCTGCCCACTTTTGTGAGCAACTGAGAGACGGGAAATATGGGGATACCCAGGCCAACCCCAGAGAAGCTCTGCTGAGAGAGATGGGACCGACTCCAGAGAGGCTCACAGGCCCCCCCCCCGCCCAGTCACTGGCCCCCAGCTCTGAGTTGAACTGGGTTTTTAGCTCTGGGTTCCTGAGCACCTATGAGCCACGTGCCAGGCACTTCCTACGTGTTCAGTGCCCACAACGTCATGAGACAGGTTTGCCTCCCCATTTTGCAGGTGGGGTGACTGAGGATCAAGGAGGACCAGAGGAGCAGCCAGGGTCTGTCTGTGCCGCTCCCCCAGGACGGTGCACCCGCCCCTCTCCTCCTTAACTATTTCCTGAAAACAAGGGCCTTTGGGTGGATGCTGTGGTGACAGGGGTAGGTCAGTAGCACCCTCGGTGAAACTGCTGGCACCTGGTCACAGACACGAGCCCTCTGCTTGACCTGGGTCCGAACAAGCCGTGTCTCTAAGTATAGTCGGAGCCCTGGGGACTCACACGAGTCACAGAACAGAGAAGGTGGAGCCATGGGGACTCTGGGGGACTGGCCCAGGGCTGGCGTCAGGGAGCTGGCTGAGCTGGGGCAGCCCTTGGGGTCCTCAATGCCTTAGGGTCAGGGACTCCCCTGAGATCTGGTGAGGCTGCAGACAATCCCTCCAGGCACACAATTTCTGCAAACCACTGGGAGAGATGGGGACCCCAGGAGAGCCCCTGTAGCATCTCCCCTCGGAGCTCAGCACCTCCCAACGGGAGGCTCCTTCTGAGACATGAATTCCTTCTGATAAATGAGACATAAGCCAAGCTCCCCGATGCTTTCCGACCATCTGCGCCTTGGAAAACTTAAACCAAGGGAAGCATTCAGCACGAGATCCAGATACACAGGGTGAAAACGAGACCTGTGAAACTCACGAGACGAGGCCCCATTCAGGCTCGCGGGAGAACCCTGAAGACAGCCCACGGGTTCCCGCAAACCGGGGACGTGCCCTCCCCCTAAAAACGCCACGTTCAAGGGCAACACGGGGAGGCCGCCTCAGACCACAGGCTCACAGCCGCAACGCAGCCACCGGTCCCGGATACACACTCTGGGTCGGAAAGACGCGGCTCAAATCCGGCGAGATATCGCCCAGGGGAGCGTCCCCAGGCGGCTCGGAAGCCTCAGTTTCCTCAAGAGCGAACAGACCGGACGTCAGGCTGTCCTGGCGGGTGGAGAAGAGCGAGAGACGGCTCGGGTGCAGCTCCGGCTCCCAGGCCGCGCGGGGCGGCGGGTGGCCGCCGGGACCCTCCCACTGTAAGGAGCGGGCTCTCCCTCGGGGCGAGAAAGACAAGCCCCACCCGGCCTCCTGTCTCCGCGAGGGGGGGGCAGCGGCCGGCGCACCCAGGCGCCCAACGGAAGCTCGGTCCTGCGGCGGACGCCCTCAGAACCGACCACGGGATCATACTCGACGGAATCTCACAGGTTTGACCTGGGGTCGGGGATGCTTTTAGCAATTCGGCATAAAAAGATTCGCGCTCCCGATAGGATTCTCAAAGACATAGTAACAGAAGCTATCCGTAACACCGGCCAACCCCAGGCTGGCGGGGCATGGGAACGCGCTATCGCGGCTCACATCGGGCTCCGAGGAGCACTGGTGGGGGCTCTCAGCCGTCACCCCGCCCGGGACGTTAACATCAGCAGGGCGATCGCCTCCCTCCCGCCGCCCAGTCGTCGGCCATGGGGCCTGGGGCCGAGCGGGGCCCCTGCAGCCTGCAGAAAAGGCCCCTCCTTCCGCACAGGGGTGCCGCCCTGAGGCTGGACCATCCGCATCGCCTGAAACCACGCAGCCCAGAGGACTTACTGATTCCCGAACCACCGGGCCATGTCCGCGCACATCCCACGCCGGCCCGCCCGGCCCGCGGCGGCTCCCTCGGCCCCTCTCCGCCCGCAGCGGGGGGCTCGCCAGGCTGGGCCCCTGCAGTCCCCGGAGGAAAGACAAGACGCGGTTCCCACAGGCTCCCGGGCCAGGCGCGGGGAGGCCAGGCTGCGCCGTGAGAAGACGCAGAGGCCTGGGCCCCGGCCAGCCTGGTGACTTATTAATGAAGGTGCCACCCGATGCAGGGCTGTGCTCGCTGAGATGTCCGCCGCCGTCTGCGTGTCCAGCAAATGGAATCACACGTCACCCTGGTTCACCTGCTCAACGTCACAAACCTTCTAAAGCAGGAAAGTGAGCGTGGGAAAGGAGGGGTGACTGGGGAGGAAGGCAGGGCGTCCCCGGGATGCTGGGCCACCTCTTCCTACAGGGGCGTCCGCAGGCTCCGGGTGGGCGCCGTGGGGACAGAGCCGCGGGTTCCTGGGGGGCGGGCCCAGCCTTCACTGCAGCCAATCAGCCGGTGCAGCCAGGCACCTGCGACCCTGCCCAGAGCGCCTGGCCGGCTCCCAGGCCTGAGGTAACACCTCCTTTTGTCCGAAGGATTTTACTTTTCTTTCTGCCTCCCAGCCCGTGTGGGCAGCTCCTTGTTTTCCTGGCCCAGCCTCTCTGCAGCAGGGCGGCTTTCCCGGCTGAGGGGCATATTCAGTTTCCACCAGAAGTCCACAAACATTCATGAAAACAAAGTTCTTTACGGTTTACTCGCATCTGGGGGGAGTGACAGGCATCTCATTATTTGGACCGGCAGAGAACCTCTGGGTTCCGAGGTCATACGAAGAAGACGTGTGGCTAATTCCCACTGAGTTTAGCTCAAAAGGCCCACGGGAGGGGGAGCCTCTAGCTTTCCTCCTGTCTCACGAAGGGCCTGGCAGGGAGCAAGAAATATCAATCAGGCCCTGGCCAGTCTGGCTCAGTGGTTAGAGCATCAGCCCTTGTACCAAAGGGTCGCGGGTTCAATTCCCGTCAAGGACATGTACCCGGTTGCAGGTCTGGCCCCTGGCCCCGGCTGGGGCATGTGCAGAGGCAACCGATTGCTGTGTCTCCCTCACATCGATGTTTCTCTCTCTGCCCCCTTCCCCCCTTCCACTCTCTAAAAATCAATGGAAAAAATATCCTCAGCTGAGGATTAATAAAACAACAAACAAAAAAGAAATATCAATAGACCTCCTGTCCCAGACAGACAGGGCGCCGAACCCAGGAGGACAAGGCGATCTCGGGGGCAGCGAATCGCTTTCAAGGAGCC